CCCCCCCCCCCCCCCCCCCCCCCGCGAAAACGAGAGAGCGAGAAGCAGCAAACCCGCCCGATTGTTTTCGTTTTTTACTCTGGCTGCCCCAGTGTTCCGGTCGACGAGTTCCTCGACAGACCGGCAAGGGCCTTCCGGTAAGAAAGGATAGAGTGGTCTTCTAGCATGGTCGGGCTGAGGGGCATCCGTAGAAAGTGCTCGTGGGGTACTCGCATAAGCACAACACCGTCCTCCCCGGCGGCGGCAGCGGCGGCAGAGGCACCGGTGGTGGTAGTTCCGATCTGCTGGGCATCGCCGCTAGCCTGGCCGCTGCCTTTGCACTCCTTGGAGGAGGAGGAGTCAGTTGTTGCGGCTGCGACAGCGTCGCTCGCGGCAGTGAGTGTCGGTTCAGACACATCGGCCTCGATTCCGTCGCCGTCGCCGCGGGCACGGCTCACGCTGCCGCCCTCCGCGGATATGGTGGTGGTGGTGCTGCTGCTGCTGCTGCTGCGACTGCAGACAAGGAACGCATCCCCCGGGGGATAGAGAGGAAGAAGCGACGGCTCTGGTCTCGCCGAGAAGGTCTCGTGGAGGCAGCGCAATCGGTCGTCGTCAGCGCCCACGTTAACAGCATCTTCTCCCGATAGAGATTCTGTTGTTGCTGCTGCTGCTGCTTCTGCTACCGCCGCCGCTGCTTTACTCCCCATCCGTGTCGATTCACCCTCCAACATTGACCCTTTCGTTCCCGCAGCACCGGGTCCTGTTATGGCGAGAGGTGCGGAAGCCGCAGAACCACCGGCAGCGCTAGCGTTAGGCTGATGCTGTCGCCGCCGCGCCCCAGACCTATTCTCCTCTCCGTCTCGCACACGTCCGTTGCCGTCGCTCCCGCCACAGCTGCCCCTGCCGCCGCCGCTGCTGCCGCCGTCAAGAGCGGCGTTATCCCGCTTTAGTGCCTCACGGCTCGCTCCTAGACTTTCCAGGTTCTCCTTGAGCGTCAAGAGGAGCTCGGTTCCGGCGGGCGATTCCGCCTCCGTCCCCCCCCCCACCCCGCGCGCACCCGCCGCCGAGTCGCCGCTGCCGCGGATGTCGCCACCGGCGGCCTTGGTGCCCGTCTCTGCTTGCCCTGTCTGTAGGCCTTGGCCGCCGCCGCTTCTGCCGCCGCTGCCGCTATTTTTTTCGGCACGGCGAACGCGGGTCTCTTTGGGCTTGATTGCGCCGGCGCCATCGCCTGTCTCTCCCCCAGTGAGCTTCACGACCTGGGTCACAATGGTCGTTATTTCCTGCCTGCAGCACACAATGATCCGGGTGAATGAATGTTGATGATTCGGAGGGGGGGAGGGGCTCATGTTTTGCATGCCTTAGCTGTTAGACCATCGACCACACGAGGCCTCGAGAGGACGGAGCATTGTTCCCACAGGACCGATCACCGATGGCCAATCGTTCCTTCCTACTTTGCCAAACGTAGGGGGGGCGTACTCCTATGTTTTGCATGCCTTAGCGGTTAGTCTATTGACCACGCGTCCTCGAGAGGACGGAGCATTGTTCCCACAGGACCGATCACCGATGGCCAATCGTTCCTTTCTACTTTGCCAAA